TTAAAAAATGAAGTCAGCTTAAAATGTGAACTTACTGAGCTCCCATCAACTTTACCTAATATTAAAAATGATTTTTAGAATGCCCAAAGCAAATCGTATTTATTAGTATAGCCAGATACATCTACATACAATGTAATTAATGTGACCCTGACACTATATAAATTATATTACAATCAGGTTGTAAAAGAACATGTTTAATATCTATCTTCCTGGAAGGCGGTGAGTGAAATCTTCCCTCTCTTGAAGAGTAATGGGTGTCTCTTGTATCTGACACTTTAGGAAGTTTTGGATACTTTGTCCCCCTCTGGTCACTGATTCCTCCTAAGTGGCTTTATTTGTTCTGTAGTGATGTAATATCCGGTGGGAGGAACCACTAAACCCAGCAGGGGACATGGTTTCCAACAAATCCAAAGTGTCTGATACCAACGGTGTCCAGAGTAAAAATTAAATGCACCATCCACCAGAGCAGTACAGTAAGTATTAAATGTTTTTTTCTATACAATGTTCATTCTCAATACACTAGAAAAATACTAAAATTACCAATAATAGAGATAATTCTATAACTACAGGTAACCCAGTGTTGCTCCTCACATATTAGCGAATAACTGTCTTTGTATTCAGGTCAGGTCTGAACAGAATTATGTAACATTTTGGGAAGAATATACAGCCAAGAAGTCCAGAACTTGATGCCATTATAGCAAAGACCTCCACAGTCACCATGTATTTCCCTCTGGTGCTCAGATAGGCCGGGATCATGGCAATCCAGACACTGCAGAACACCAGCATGCTGAAGGTGATGTACTTGGCCTCATTAAAACTGTCCGGTAAAATGTCCTGGCTATAAAAAGCTATAATGAAGCTCACAGCTGCCAGAAGCCCCATATATCCCAGGACACAGTAGAAGCCGATAACTGAACCCTCATTACACTGAATGATGATCTTCACCTGATAAGAGTGAGTGTCTCGATCCTGGAAGGGGGGAGAAATAGACAACCAAGTGACACAGATTATGACTTGGACCATTGAGAAGACACAAATGATACAATTGGACAGTTTGGTTCCCATCCATTTCCTCCAGGGACTCCCAGGTTTGGTGGCTTTAAAAGCAATACACACCATGATACTTTTGGCAAGTAGAGAAGAGACGGCAACTGAGAAGATGACACCAAAAGAGGTGACACGCAGCATGCAGGTTACATCTACTGGATGGCCGAGGAACAAGAAGACACAGAGGAAGCTCAGCATGATGGAGACCAGGAGAAGATAGCTCAGGTTCCGGTTATTGGCTTTAACAATGGGGGTGTCCTGGTAATGTATAAATATCCCCAATATTAAACCAGTCAGAAGACAACAGAGGATAGAGACGGCTGAAAATACTGCAACAATGGTGTCATCAGTGTAGGAGAGAAATTCCACCACTCTTGGAACACACCAATCCTTCTTCTCATTTGGCCATTCTTCATCAGGACATTTCATGCAGTCTTCACTGTCTGCAGGAAGAACAATACAAACACAATGAGCATCGGGGTCAGAGCTTCTGAGGAAATGAATTGTCTTGTGTTGTCTCACAGCTAGCAATGGGATTTCCATCAGTGCATTATGGGAGAGGAAAAGGAAATAGAATATATTACCTCACTATAAAATAGTGAAATGTTATGATAGATAGATAGATAGATAGATAGATAGATAGATACAGTAGATAGATAGATAGATAGATAGATAGATAGATAGATAGATAGATAGATAGATAGATAGATGAACTGAAAGGTATGAATCAGTGAAGCCTCCTGCCTGCAGCAGAGTAATGATATCTTAGCCTAGGCAAAGTCACCGACTGCAAATGAAAATTGACTTTATGATGAAAAATGTGGAGCTTTTCTGAAAAAAGAATAATGATATTGTTTCTGTAAATTGTGACATGTCAGGAATTGATTCATGCAGACTTGGAAGGTTAATGACAGATTCAATTTAAATATACTATTATTCTATGGAAAGGGTTTTGTCACACATGTTCGATAAATGCAAATAGTTCCCTTTGTTTCTGATGGAAATTTCCAGCTGTCCTCTTCCATCTTTATTTGAAGGCGCCTAATCAGCCCTCCCACTTCTTATCTAAGATTACAGAACACTTACTCTCTATGAGTAAAAGGTGATGAGATTCAGCATTTGGGATGGGATGGGAAGGATTCAGCATTTTAGTAGTAGTAGTAGAGTCAGCAAAAGACAACTGGGCAGGGCTGACACCATTTCTTGTGATTTCAGTCCACAAACTCCTATGTGTTGTCAGCCCACAATAGGACTTAGGATCTGAGTGCATTTCTGGCAGGATAGAAATATAGAAACACAGAAAAGTGACAGCAGAAAAAGATCGAATGGTCCATTGAGTCTGTCCATTTTTTGTGCGTGTTTTTTTTGCTGGGAGGTTGTTTTTTTTTTATTCTGTGTTTTTTTTGTTTGTTTGGTTTTTTTTAACATTGATCTTGTTTTTTTTCTTGTTTCTTTGGGGGTTCTTTGTTTTTTGTGTTTTTTTTGTTTTGTTTTTTTAACTTTTTTTCTCTATAGATCTCTGCTTGTCCCAGGCATGTTTGAAGCTATTAACTGGTGACCGGCTCACTGCCTCTGCTGGAAGTTTATTCCCGGCATCAACTACTCTTTCAGTGAAATAATACTTTCTGAGATCAGTTTTGAATGTTCCTCAGTTAGTTGGAGGTCATGTCCTCGTGTTCTTGGTTTTGGTTTTGTGTTAGAAATCCTGCCCTCCTGAACCTTATTCTCCCCCTTGATGTATTTAAAGGTTTCTGCCGTGTCTCCCCTTTCCCTTCTTTCCTCCAGACTGGACATGTGAAGTTCCTGAAGTTGCTCTTGATATGTTTTATCCCCCCCAGACCTTTCGCCATTTTTCACCAGGATCAACAGGTATCTTTCTATACATGAAGAGTCTTTAAAGTGGTTCTAAAGCCTTAGAGCAGCTACAAAAACTGTAATAAACACACACTCACCTGTCCCGGGGTCCAGTGACGTGCTCACCCGCTCCATCCCTTCATTCCTTCTTCTCTCCTCCATGGTGCCGGCATCTCAACTGTGGGCACCAGCCTGTGACAGCTTGCGGCTTCACAGCCGGGTGCCCACTGCGCATGCGTGAGTCGTGCTGCACATCCTGATTGGTCCGGCAGTCTTCTGGGACATGTGAAAGTTCCCAGGAGACTGTGGGAGGAAAGAAAGGGTGCAACTTCTAGCTCACTTTGCAGCGGCTAACTGGGAATGGAAGTGGGAGCGAGTATCTGTCAAAACCAGGTATCCACTCCCTCCTCCCCCACCCAAAAGGGACCAAATATGGCAGTGGAGGGGGGGAGGAGCCAAACAAGCAGAGATTCCACTTTTGGGTGGAACTATGGCAGCACAGTGCCTAAATGGTTAGCACTTCTGCCTGGCAGTACTCGGGTCATTGGTTTGAATCCCAACCACAGCACCACCTGTATGTTTGAATGTTCTCCCTGTGCCTGTTGGGGTTTCCTACGGTTACTCTGGTTTCCTCCCACACTCCAAAGACATGCTGAGAGGTGAATTGGCTCCTGTCTATATTGTCCCTAGTATGTGTATGTATGAATGTGAGTTAGGGACCTTAGATTGTACACCCCTTGAGGGTTAGGGACCTTAGATTGTACACCCCTTGAGGGTTAGGGACCTTAGATTGTACACCCCTTGAGGGTTAGGGACCTTAGATTGTACACCCCTTGAGGGTTAGTGACCTTAGATTGTACACCCCTTGAGGGTTAGGGACCTTAGATTGTACGCCCCTTGAGGGTTAGGGACCTTAGATTGTACACCCCTTGAGGGTTAGGGACCTTAGATTGTACACCCCTTGAGGGTTAGGGACTGATGTGAATGTACAATATATATGTAAAGTGCTGTGTAAATTGTTGGCGCTATATAAGTACCTGAAATAAAAAAAAAAAAAAAAAACTCCGCTTTAAGGCTTTGCATCTTAATAAATTCTATGCATTAAGGTGAAAAAACCTTCTGTGCTGCAGGAACCCCCCAGCCCCCCCCCCCCCCTTATACTTACCTGAGCCCGGTCCAATCCAGCGATGGGCATGAGAGCAGCGTCTTTCACCACTGTCTCCCCACTACTTGGGCGGATTGATGTCCGCTGGAGCCATTGGCCAAGCCAGCAGGGAGGACCAAGCCGTAAGCTCTGTGTCAATGGACGCAGACAGGGCGGCTCGGGAGCAAGGCCACACAAAGCGGATTTCTATGGGGGCACCTGCTGAAGAGGAGGAGCCTGGAGCGTTGGTGGGGGACCCCAGAAGAGGAGGATCTGGGCTGCTCTGTGCAATACCATTGCACAGAGCAGGAAGGTATACCATGTTTGTTATTTTAGTAAAAAAAAAAATGAAGGTTTAATGTAACTTTAGAGAATGAAAACATGAGGAAATCTGAATACATTGTAGAGATGTACTATGTAGGTTTATGTTTCCTGACACACACTTCACCTACTTCTGCTCAGTCCAATAGTAACTTACTAACAGAGGTGGACTGACCATTTGGGAACTCGGCACCGCCCGAGGGCCCGGGGTCAGTAGGGGCCCCATGAGATGCCCCTGGTACCTTTCATAGGCTTTTTTGGGTGTGGTTTGAGTATTGGCGAGGACACAGGAGCCCCATGATCCCCTATTGCCCGGAGGTCCCATGAGTTGTCAGTCCGCCCCTGATTACTAACAAATACAAATTGTACCAGAAATGTTGGATATCTCTCCTTCCGGACACGGGATGCACTCATAGCAACATTCATGAATTGAAGATCCAAACTTTTTTCTGCTGCCAAGTGAGCAGGGATCTGAGCATCGAGATACCGGAACCTGAAATCAGATATTATTATTATTACTTTGTGAGGTCCATTATACTCCATGAGGCTGTACATGGAGGGTATATTTCTAGAGCGGTGAATATGACTTTCACCAAACACTCCCTGCAAATCAGTCTTGCTCATGCATTTGTTTTAACCCCCCTGGCGGTATTCCTGAGTGTAGCTCGGGGTAAAGTTTCAGCACCACAAGCGGTAACCCCCCCGAGCTACACTCGGGAATACACTGCAGCGTTGCTCCGGGATCTCTTCTTCTCTTACCTTGTCCTGCGCTCCCGCGATGTCCCTCCTGCAGTGTCCCCAGCAATGTCCTCCTGCTGATGCCGGCATCTATCTTCCGGGTTCCATTCCCTGCGAGCGTCGAGACGTACGGGGGACGGAACTGGCAGGAAATGTGAAAATGACAAAAAGTGACATTCACTAAATACACTAAAATCACATAATATAACATTCCTGTATCAAACCATTTCACATACATTTTGTCCCGAGTGCTTTGTCCGGCGCCCTGCCTGCATTTTTACTGTTCTTTCTGCCTGGAAACTGAGAAACGTCCATGGCGTTCAAAAAGCGTCCCTTTAGGTCAGACGCGGTTTTAGACCGGCTAGAGAACAGCGATAGTAAATCAGAACCACTTGCAGAATTGAGTGATAATGATTGGTGGGGGAAATTCCTCATCAGACACTGAAAACGATTCTGCGACTGAGCTCAGCGATGTGCGAACTTGGCGCTCTATTTCACATTTCAGTGTTTTTGGTTTGATTACATCATTGAATTACATTTATTATTGTTATATTATTATTTTTTATGATTATTTATTAAATTATAATTTATGATTTCGTGATTTAAAGTTTTAACATACCCGGGATGTTTACTAGACTTTTGTTCGGACAGATTTCAGTGAGTTATTCCTAAAAATTACAGGCCTACAATAAAAAAAAATACATATTTCCATGCAAAAAAAATGTACCGCTTTGAGCACAGAAATATGGACATAATCAGACCGCTAGGGAGGTTAACCCCCTAATACCCAGAGGTAAAACACATCTCAATGCCCGAACGCAGTTTTTCCATTTCGGCATGTCATAGTAAAACTGTGCAAGTCATGTAGTGTATCCGGGTACATTGTACCTTGTTTTGTTCAGGATTCATTGGACCTATCATTTGCTGATGAATGATTATGGATCACTTCTGTATTTGAATATTAACAAAGAAAACTAATGAAAAAAATACCAGGTAAAACAAACAATACCTCGGTACTTATTAAATGAAAGGCTGGCAGCTATCTTACGTAACAAAGTCAAAAACATTCAGGGTCCTTTCACAGGGGCGTTCCATATGTCCGTTTTTCATCTGTCCATTTACGGATGAAAAACGGACACCCATGTATTTCTATGGACCAGCAGATGTAAATGGATGATCATCTGTTTACGTCCGTTAGTGTCCGCATCTGTTAGCATCCATTTTTTTGAACGGAAGAAAACCCTATTTTTCTGCCGTGAAAAAATAAAACGGACCAGACACAAAATGTATGTAAACGGATCACAAATGGATGAAAGCAGATCACAAATGGATGCAAATGGATGTAAACAGATGAAGAATAGATGTCAATGGATGAAAAAGGTATATAAACGGATGCAAATGGATGAAAACCGGATGTGATCGGATGAAAAACAGATGTAAATGGATTAACAACGGATGAAATAACGGATGTACACAGATATGAAAACGGAGGTAAAAAGATTTTGAAAATAAAAACGCAACTTAACTGATGAAAAAAACCGGAACTCCCGCTTAAAAGGACCCTTAAAAAAAAAAGGTTGGGAATCCATGAATATCTAATTATTTTGGAGGTGATTTCAATGAGGCATTATGGATGATTTTCCACTCCATAGACTGTGGTTTGAGGATTCTCTTCATGCATAGGTATTCAAACCGACCCAATTCCTACTCTTTATCCGGATCCCTTCTTCCCGTTCCCTTTTCCCTGCTTTCCCTACTCTTCTTTCTTTCTTAGTATCTCCTTACTTTTGGGTTCTTATTTTGAGTCATTTTTCTTGCCGCTGCAAAAGCTGGAGTAGTACTCCCTTGGCAGGGGCCTCCCCCAATAAAACACCCCAAACTGGCTCCTCCATGTCTTTATGGACATTGCTTTGTGCATTGGTGTGCAGTCATGTTGGAACAGAAAGGGACTATCCCCAAACTCCTCCCACAAAGTTGGGAGCATGAAATTGTCCAAAATGTCTTAGTATGCTGACACCTTAAGAGTTCCCTTCATTGGAACTAGGGGGCCAAACCCAATCCCTGAAAAACAACCCCACACCATAATCCCCCCTCCACCAAACTTTACACTTGGCACAATGCAGTCAGGCAAGTACTGTTCTCCTGGCAACTGCCAAACCCAGACATGTCCATCGGATTGCCAGACAGAGAAGTGTGATTGGTCACTCCAGAGAACACACCTCCACTTCTCTAGAGTCCAGTGGTGGCTTTCTTTACACCACAGCATCCTACGCTTTGCATTGCACTTGGTGATGGAAGGCTTGGATGCAGCTGCTCGGCCATGGAAACACATTCCATGAAGCTCTCTACACACTGTTATTGGGCTCATCTGAAGGCCACACCAAGTTTGGAGGTCTTTAGCTATTGACTCTGCAGACAGTTGGTGACTTCTGCGCACTGTGCGCTTCAGCATGCGCTGACCCTGCTCTGTCATGTGACGTGGCCTACCACTTGGTGGCTGAGTTGCTGTTGTTCCCAGTTGCTTCCACTTTGTTATAATCCCACTAACAGTTGAGTGTGGAATATTTAGTAGCCAGGAAATGTCACGGATGGACTTATTGCCCAGGTGGCCACCTATCACGGGACCACGCTTGGAGTCACTGAGCTCCTGAGAGCGACCCATTCTTTCACCAATGTTTGTAGAAGCAGTCTGCATGCCTAGGGGCTTGATTGTAGACGCCTGTGTCCATGGAGGTGATTGGAATACCTGAATCACATGATTTGAAGGGCAGGGACAATACTTTTGGCAATATAGTGTAATCATCTTGTATAATTAACGTTGTGTGGGTTTGTAATTGGATTGTATAAAACTCATTCAATAAAAAAAAAATATTATAACAGAAAAATAATCTGGCTGAATCATTATTATCCAGCCAAGTTTATATTATGGACTTACTTCATCGCCCAACTTCCATGTTATGGATTTAATATTCATTTGTAATTGCTGATCTTCTGGCCCCCAGGGTGTAAAATTCCCCACATCATTAGAAATCACAGTTCTCTCCTTATGTATCCAATTTGTTATTTTGTAGTAATACACAAATTCTCCGAATTCATTAAAGAATGGCGCCGGCTCGTATAAATCAAATGCATATTTAATGTTCTTCAAATAGTGATACAGCTTCAATAGGTATATAGAAAGAAAAAACATTCTGTAATAGGAAGATCAATATTCAAAATCCATCTATGAGCTCAATATCCCCCCCCCTCCCCTCAGCCTTCAACTTCCATTTGAATCCCCTCTAATCCTCTACAGACAACATTCATACACAAAGCTTTTTTCCCGATGTGTTACCAGTGACGTCACAGGAGTGCTGTGCATTACATATCCCCGGCCACTGCACTCTATATTGTATGTTTGTTACATACAGTACTCCTTACCTTAGCCTGCTGTATGTTATGTACTCCTGACCACTGCATTATCTGTGCTACGTTGTATGTGATATACTCCTGACCACCGCATTATCTGTGCTACATTGTATGTGATATACTCCTGACCACCGCATTATCTGTGCTACGTTGTATGTGATATACTCCTGACCACCGCATTATCTGTGCTACATTGTATGTGATATACTCCTGACCACCGCATTATCTGTGCTATGTTGTATGTGATATACTCCTGACCACCGCATTATCTGTGCTACATTGTATGTGATATACTCCTGACCACCGCATTATCTGTGCTACATTGTATGTGATATACTCCTGACCACCGCATTATCTGTTCTACATTGTATGTGATATACTCCTGACCACTGCACAGTGCATACTGGGATGTATCTTACTCCTGACCACTACATTATCTGTGCTACATTGTATGTGATATACTCCTGACCACTGAATGTCTCTGACCAAACAATCAGAAACAGACTTCAGGAGGGTGGCCTGAGGGCCTGACATCCTCTAGTGGGCCCTGTGCTCACTGCCCGGCACCATAGAGCTCGATTGGCATTTGCCATTGAACACTAGAATTGGCAGGTCCACCATTGGCACCCTGTGCTTTTCACAGATGAGAGCAGGTTCCCCCTGAGCACACGTGACAGACGTGAAAGGGTCTGGAGAAGCCGTGGAGAACGTTCTGCTACCTGTAACATGGTTCAGCATGACCGTTGTGGTGGTGGGTCAGTGATGGTCTGGGGAGGCATATCCATGGAGGGATACACAGACCTCTACAGGCTAGACAATGGCACCCTGACTGCCATTAAGTATCGGGACGAAATCCTTGGACCCATTGTCAGACCCTACGCTGGTGCAGTGGGTCCTGGATTCCTCCTGGTGTATGGCAATGCCCGACCTCATGTGGCAAGAGTATGTGGGCAGTCCCTGAAGGCATTGATACCATTGAATGGCCTCCACGCTCTCCTGACCTAAATCCAATAGAACCCCTCTGGGATGTCATGTTTCGATCCATCCGACACCGCCAGGTTGCACCTCAGACTGTCCAGGAGCTCAGTGATGCCCTGATCCAGATCTGGGAGGAAATCCCCCAGGACACCATACGTGGTCTCATTAGGAGCCTCCCCCGACGTTGTCAGGCATGCATACAAGCACGTGGGGGCCATACAAACTACTGAGGACCATTCTGAGTTGCTGCAATGACATTTCATCCAAATGGACTCGCCTGCTGCATCATTTCTTCACTTTGATTTTCGGGGTGTCTTTGAATTCAGTCCTCCGTAGGTCGATCATTTTAATTTCCAGCAAACAATGGGGCATCCTTACATTCCTCACACATTACCCATCCATATCAGTATAGAGTTCCAGGAGGAGATTCCTCCCCATTGAGATCTGATGTGTTTTCAAAGTGTTCCTTTTATTTTTTTGTCCTAAATGTATGACTAACTTTGAGTTTACTGGATAGTTTTTATAACCAAAAGTATAAAATGACGGGTTTTTTTTTTCAAAATTTGGGGATTTTTTCCAGTTATATTACAAAAAATGCAAAAAAAAAAAAAACAGTGTTGATCAAATACCACCAAAAGAAAACTATTTGTGTGAAAAAAGAACAGACATTTAATTTGTGTACAGCATTGCATGACTGCGCAATTAACAGCTGAAATAGCACAGCGCCGAATAGCAAAAAATGGCCTGGTCATTAAGGAAGGGGGGAGGAGTAAATCTTCTGGAGGACAAGTGGCTAAAGTTTTTTAGTTTCCCTAACTGCTTGAGGTGATTGTAGCCATATTAGTGCATTTG